ATCTTGAACTAGGAGAATTATTTGATCTTGATAAATTTCCGTTAACTAACCTTCTAACAAGTCTTGCAATTTGATTTGTAGAAGTTGAATTTTGTCTTGTTGATGGTGTTGATTCGGTATTATTAATTGTTGTTCTATGATTAGGATGATTAATTAATTCTGTCGAATGAGAAAAATACTGACCATTGATGTTATTTCTTTGTGAATTAAACATATTTTCAACGGTGAACTAAGGAAAAAAAAAAAACTTTTTTTAATTGATCGAATTTCGATGATAAAAATAAATCCCTTTATATACTTTTTCGAAACAACGAAAAACAAAAAAACTTTTTTAAACCAAATTGATTGGTGAAGATCTTTCAACACGAGAGTGATTGTCAATTTGTAATTCCATCATTGTTAAGATTTCCTTATCCGGTGGAATAAGGAATTTTCTCTTTCTTTATGAAAAACTTCAAAATTCCGAAATTTACCATTAATTGTATCACAAATTCTCTCACCCAATTGTTAAAGTAAGGAAGGCTGCAACACCGGCATCCGTTTCTCCGGAGCCACATTTGATAATACATTGAAAAAGGGAATATAATGTATCAACAATCTATTAATTAATACTAGACATATAAATAATTTTAACATTATGATTGAAAATAATTAAATGATCATAAAACTAAAGAATGATCTTTAAGTAATTTTAATAATTTAAATTTTAATGTATTAATAATTTATAATATAGCTAAAATAGTTTTTATTTGTTAAGTTTTTATTAAAATAATTTAAATTATTTATTTAATTTTTTAAAGCAATAAAAGGATATTTGTTTCATTATATCCTGTTATCAGCTTGCAGATTAATCTATTATCCCTTAAACTGTAGAGCAGACTAATTTGTCTGCAAACATAAAAATAAAGTTGATAAAATATATATTAAACTATATTTTTATACAATAATTATATTATTAACATTAATATTTTATTTTTTTATTAAAAAATTAATACTTTATTAAAAGAATTTTAAGTTTATTAAGAAGTTTTTAAATAATTCAATTTTTTAAATTAAGTTTTGAAAAATTTATTATAATAATTTTTTAAAAATTTTCTTAAAATTTATGTTAGTGAACTAATTGAATCATTTTACTATTAATAAAAATCATAAAATTCTTAGTAAATTATAAAATTGTAATAATTAAAGTTATTTTTCATGATAAATTTTATAATATTCTATTATAATTAATATTGCTAAAAGTAAATGTTAATAAGATGATCAAAGGTCAATGATAAAATTTTTAATTTATAATTTTTTTATAAATTACAAATTTTAGTTTATAAATAACCTTAAATTATTTATTATATAATTAAAAAATAAAATTTACTATAATATATAAAATTATTTTAAAAATTTTAATTTTTCATAAAAGTAAATTAAAAGAGAATTTATAGTAAATAAGTAAGCAAATTTGTTAGTGAACCTCTATAGTTTAAGGGATATTTGATACTTCTTATATTTTTAGTTAATAATAATTATTCACTAGATAATAAAAACTATTGTGAACCTAGAGCTCTTTATATATTTTAGAAGTAAAACAGTAATATAGTATTTTAAGCAAAATTAAAAAATACATTTAAATTCAAAAAGTAAAAAAACAATAATTTAATATATATATATATATATTTTTTCTCTTATAATGAAACTAACAAAATAAAATTTTAGAAGTAATTTAAGAAAATAATTTTTAATACAAATGAATTATTATTATTATTAATTATTAATAAATAGAATACTGATTATCTAACCATTAACATTAATATGATTTTTTTATTATTATCACATGATTTAAATATAATATCACGTGAACAGATAGATAAATAGACAAAAATCATAATTTTATATTGTATAGAACTATACTGTCCTTCACTTATGCTCTGGACAAAAATTTTTTTGAATCTATTTAGATTTTTTAAATTGTAAATGATTTCAAAAGAAATCTGAATTAAATTGAATTAAAAATTTTAAAAATATTTGAATTTTAAATTAATAAAACTTAATTTCATTTTAAATATGATTTTTATTAAAAATAATCTTTAACTATTAATAAAAGATAAATGTTTATAAAATTACTAAAAAATTTTTATAAGTTAAATATGAATTTTTTTTTTAATAAAATAAGTTTAAATTAACTTAAAACTAATTTTTTTGAATTTTTTTTCTTTTTATTATAAAGTGCTTATACTATTAAATTTTAAAAATAACTTTTATTAAAAATAATTAATAAATATTTTAATAATATTAATATTAAATATAATATAATAATATAAAAAAAATAAAAATAATATAATTAAATAGTTGTAAAATAATATAATAAAAATAATTAAAAATTAATAAATAATAAAATAAAAAAGTATTATTATTAGCATTAGATATTTATTTATTTAAAAAAAATGATAATTTTTGAATCACATTTATTTAATAACTATTATATCAATTAAAATATATAATGTATAATTTAAAGTTAATATGTAATATATTATATTTAAAAAATTTAATATGATATTTTTTATTAATAACTTTTTTATAATATTATAGCATTAAATTTATAAGATTAATTAGAAAATATTTAGTATTTTTTCTTACTTCTTATTTAAAAATCCTTTTAATTTACTAAGGTTTTTTAGTTTATATACAGTAGTGGTCATAAGTATCCGACCGCCTCAAACTCTGGCTATAAGTAAGTAAATTCAAAAATTTTTTTTTATTTAAAAAATACATAACCAATTAACTAAAATTAATACATTATGTAGTTACCATCTGACTCTATAAGTGCAGCTGTACGCCTTTTCATACTAGCTACCAAATTCGCGGCAAGTACAGGTAATAATCAGTTCTATTCTTTTGTAAGTTCCCCCTTTAACCCTCTAATTGATTGAATTTTTTTTTTTTTGTATATTAATTTT